AAAGGTTTGAGAGACAACCAAGAGCTAGGGCAGAGTTGAATGATAAGGTTCATATCCTCACAGGGCACAGGTTGGGAGAGGTGGCTATTTTAATCTAATGCATAGAAACCAACAGAGAGTCAAGGAAAACGAAGAAACACAGGAATATGTTCCAAATATAAGAACAAGATAAAACTTTGGAAAAAGGCCTTAATGAAAAGGAGATGTGATTTACCTGATAAAGAGTTCAAAATAATGATCATAAAGATGCTCACTGAATTTGGGAGAAGAATGTATGAACATAACGAGAACTTCAACAAAGAAAGAAAATAAAAGAAATTATCAAATAGAAGTCACAGAACTGAAGAACCCAATAACTGAACTGAAAAATACACTAGAGGGCCTCAAGAGCAGACTAGATGAAGCAGAAGAAAGGACTAGGGAACTCAAAGACAGGGCAGTGGAACTCACCCAATCAGAGCAGCAAAAACAAAAGAAGAACAAAAAATAGTGAGGATAGCTTAGGGGCAACATCAAGTGGACCAACATTCACATTATAAGGGGTCCCTGGACAAGAGGGAGAGAAAGGGGCAGAAACTTTATTTGAAGAAATAATGTCTGAAAACTTCCCTAACCTGGGGAAGGAAATACACATCCAAAATCTAGGAATCCCAGAGAGTTCCAACAAAGATGAACCCAAGAAGACCCACACCAAGACACATTATAAGTAAAGTGTCAAAAGTTAAAGACAAAGAGAGAATCTTAAAAGCAGCAAAAGAAAAACTTGTTACATTCAAGGGAACCCCTATAAGACTATCAGTGGTTTTCTCAGCAGAAACTTTGCAGGAGAAGGGTGTGGCACAATATATTCAAAGTGCTGAAAGAACACCAAGAATACTCTACCTGGCAAGGTTATCATTCAAAATGGAAGGAGAGATCAAAATTTTCCCAGATAAGCAAAAGTTAAAGGAGTTCATCACTACTAGACCATCCTTACAAGAAATATTAAAGGGATTTCTTTAAGCAGAAACGAAGGGTGCTAATTAGTGCAGGAAACCATATGAAAGTATGAATCTCACTGGTAAAGGTAAAAATATAGTAAAATTCAGAATAATCTAATGTTGTAAAGGTAGTAGGCTAATCACTTATAAAGTTAGTGGGAAGGTTAAAAGACAAAAGTAGTAAAAATAACTATGACTACAATACTTTGTTAAGGAATACACAAGATAAAAAGATGTAAATGTGACATCAAAAACATGAAATGTGTGGTGGAATAAAAATGTAGAGCTTTAGGGTGAGATCAAATTGTTATCAACTTAAAACCGACTTATAAGTATAAGTTGTTTTATGCAAGCCTCATGGTAATCACAAAACAAAAACCTATTGTAGATACAAAAAAGATAAAAGAGAAAGGACTCTAAGTATACCACTATGGAAAATCATCAAATCACACAGGAAGAGAGCAAGAGAAGAAGAAAGAAACAGAGGAATTACAAAACAGCCAGAAAACAAATAACAAAATGGCAATAAGTGTATATCTATCAATAATTACTTTAAATGTAAATAGATTCAATTCTATAATCAAAAGACATAGAGTGGCTGAATAGACAAAAAACAAGATCCATCTATATGCTGCCTACAAGAGACTCACTTCACATGTAAAGACACACACAGACTGAAAGTGAAGGGATGGAAAAGATATTCCACGCAAACGGAAACAGAAAGCTGGGGTAGCTATACTTTCATCAGACAAAATAGACTTTAAGACAAAGACTGCAATAAGAGACAAAGAAGGTCAGTCTATAATGCTAAAGGGGTCAATCCAACAAGAGGATAGAAGATTTGTAAATATTTATACATCTAATGTAGGAGCACCTAAATATATAAAGTAAATATTAACAATCTAAAGGGAGAAGTAGACAGCAACACAATAGTAGGGATTTTACCCCACTTAATGAATGGATAGATCATACAGACAGAAAATCAATAAGGAAACATTGATCTTAAATGACATGTTAGACCAAATGGACTTAAGAGACATACACAGAACATTCCATTAAAAAGAACACACAGAATACACATTCTTCTTAAGCTCACACGGAACATTCTCCAGGATAGGTCATATGTTAGGCCACAACGTAAGTCTTAATGAATGTAAGAAGACTGATATCATATCAAGTATCTTTTCCAACCGCAATGGGATAAAACTAGAAATCAATTACAAGAAGAAAAGTAGAAAATTCACAAATATGTGGAGACTCAACAATATGCTTCAGAACAACCAATAGGTCAAAGAAGAAATCAAAAGAAAAAATAAAAAAATACCTTGAGACAAACAAAAATGGAAATACAACATACCAACTTATGGGATGCAGCAAAAGCAGTTCTAAAAGGGAAGTTCATAGCAATAAATGCCTACATCAAAAAACAAAAAAAATCTCAAATAAATAACCTAACTTTTCACCACAAAAACTAGAAAAAGAAGAATAATGAAAAGTTAGTAGATGGAAGGAAATAACAAAGATCAGAGTGGAAGTAAATGACACAGAGACTAAAAAGACAATAGAAAAGATCAATTAAACTGATATCTTTCAAAAAGATAAAAAACATTGACAAATCTTTAGCTAGACCCACCAAGAAAAAAGGAGAGAAGACTCAGATAAAATGAGAAATAAAATACCACATAATACACATAATATACCACATAATACAAAGCATCAAAAGAGACTACTATGAACTATATGCCAACAAACTGGACAATGTATAAGAAATGGATAAATTCCTAAAACAAACAAACTACCAAGACTGAATTAAGAGGAAACAGAAAATCACAGCAGAACAATTACTAGTAAGGAGATTGAATCAGTAATTAAAAACCTCCCAACAAATAAAAGTCAGCTTCAGTGATGAAGTCTACTAAACATTCAAAGAAGAATTGATATTAATCTTTTTCAAACCCTTCCAAAGAACAGAAGAGAAGGGAACACTTCAAAACTCATTTTATGAGGCCAGCATTATCCTGATACCTAAACCAGACAAGGATGCCAGAAGAAAAGAAAATGACACGCCAATACCCCTGATGAACACAGATAAGAAAATCCTCAACAAAACATTAGCAAACTCAATTCAACAATACATTAAAAAGGTCATACACCATGATCAAGTGGGATTTATCCCTGAGATGCAAGGATACGTCAACTTCTGCAAATCAATCAATATGATACACCACATTAAAAAAATGAAGAAAAAAAATCATATGATATCTCAATAGATGCAGAAAAAGCATCTGACAATATTCAACATCCATTTTTGATAAAAATTCTCAACAAAGTGGGGATAGAGGGAACATACCTCAACATAATAAAGGCTATATATGACAAGCCCACAGCTAACACCACACTCAGTAATGAAAAACTGAAAGCCTTTCCTCTAAAATGAGGAACAAGACAAGGGTGCCCACTTTACCACTTTTATTTAACATATTATTGGAAGTTTTAGCCAGAGCAAATAGGCGAGGAAAAGAAATAAAAGTCATCATCAGCAAGGAAGAAATAAAACTGTTACTAGTTGCATGACATGATATTATATATAGAAAACCCTCAAGATTCCACCAAAAAACTGTTAGAATAAACAAATTCAGTAAAGTTGCAGGATACAAAATCAACACACAAAAATCTGTCACATTTCTATATACTAATAACAAACTATCAAGAAGAGAAATTAAGAAAACAATCCCATTACAATAGCATCAAAAAGAATAAAATACCTAGAGTAAATTTAACCAAGGAAGTGAGAGACCTGTATGCTGAAAACTATGAGACATTGATGAAAGAAATTGAAAAAGACACAAATAAATGGAAAGATACTCTGTGCTCATGGATTGGAAGAATTAATATTGTTAAGATGTCCATACTACTCAAAGCAATCTACGGATTCAATGCAATCCCTATCAAAATTCCAACAGCATTTTTCACAGAAATAGAATAAACAATCCTAAAATTTGTATGGAACCACAAAAGACCCCAAATAGCCAAACCAATCCTGAGGAAGAAGAACAAAGCTGGAGGCATCATGCTTTCTGATTTCAAACCATACTACAAAGCTATAGTAATCAAAATAGTATGGTATTGGCATTAAAAACAGACACACAGATCAATGGAAGAGAGAGCCCAGAAATAAACCCATGCATATATGATCAATTAATTTACAACAAAGGAGCCAAGAATATAGAATTGGAATAAGACAATCTCTTTAATAAATGGTGTTGGGAAAACTGGACAATCATATGCAAAAGAATGAAACTGGACCACTATCTTACACCATACACAAAAATCAACTCAAAATGGATTAGAGTTGAACGTAAGACCTGAAACCATAAAACTCCTAGAAGAAACCATAGGCAGTAAGCTCCTTGATATCAGTCTTGGCAATGATTTTTGGATATGACACCAAAAGCAAAAGATCAAAAGCAAAAATAAACAGAGACTACATCAAACTAAATAGGTTCTGTACAGCAAAGGAAATTATCAACAAAATGAAAAGGCAACCTACCAAATGGGAGAAAATATCTGCAAATCATATATCCACAGCTCCTATGGAAAACAGTATGGAGGGTCCTCAAAGAATTAAAAAGGCGGGGGTGAGGGGTGGGCAGGTGAGTGAAGGGAGTCAAAAGGTACAAATTTCCAGTTGTAAAATAAATAAGTTATGAGGATGTAATGTACAGCATATTGACTATAGTTAATATACTATATTGCATATTTGAAAGTTGCCAAAAGTAAATTAAAAGTTTTCACAACAAGAAAAGAAAATTTGTAACTATGGTGATGGCAGTTAACTAGACTTATTGTGGTGATCATTTTACAATATACACAAATATTGAATCATTATGTTATAAATCTGAAACTGATATAATGTTATATGTCAATTATATCTTAATTTAGAAAACCCAACATGGAAATTTAAGAGACATGAAAACATACTAAAACATTTAAATAATCAAAAAGAATTAAACCTGCCACCTGTTTGTCTTCTCCTAAAGCTTTAATGGAGGCTTCTGATATGTTGAATTGCAAATCAAAATGGATTTCTATTTTTGTTACTTCTTTGTTTCTGATATTAATAGGATTCAGGTTAATAATGAGCATCTTCATCTTCTCAGTTTCTAGAAAAAAATAAAGTATACAAATGCAGATCAACATACTGAAAAGTTGTGTTTTAAAATTTTAAATAACTGCACTTGCATTTTTCAACTGTCCAGATTTTTCTACAATGAGAAATTGAAAAGAAATAATATTAAAGTTACTTTGAAATTATTGTTATTAGATGCACATGCATTTTTTTATACACATAATATGATTAAGTGGTCAATCTTGCAGAAATAGGAAGTAACTTATCTTAGCATAGCAATGAAGATGGATTGAATTTTAGATAACTATTTTTAAAGAGCATTTTGTGAATTCAAAGCTATCATTTGCAACAGGTCTTACACTTTCCAATATATATGCACAACATTCATTCTCATTCTCTCTCTCTCAGATCTCACTCACTTCTACAATTCAAACTAAAACTCACTGTTCCCAATATGCAAAATGGAACAATCCACCTTCATTTCAATAGACTCTACTTAAAGAGGAGAAATGGAAACATCCCAGAGAGAAGTGCTTTTCAAACAACAGTCTCCTTGAGGGCCCCCTTCCAGGACGTCAGCCCTTTACTGACAAATAGTGATTGGTTTTAGAAGAGAAAAGAGCTTAGATCAAAATTCAAAGAGAGCCAAGAATAAGCCACAGTAAGTACAAGCTGAGTTGGAAGCAGCAGCAAAGAAAAGAGAGTCAAGTCCGTGAAAGAGCAGGCAAAGCTAACAGTCTCAAATTGATGAGAACAGAAAGAGGAAACAAGAGCAAGACACACCTGGGTCTAGATCTGCGGCTACTGAGTACTTGAAATGTGGCTAGTACAAATTGAGATGTGCCATACACATAAAACATACATCAGTTTGTGAAGACTTGGTACAAAAAAAGAGAAGGTAAAATATCTCGTCAATTTCTTATATTGATTACATGTTAATATTTTGAATATATTGGGTTAAATACATATTATTAAAATTAGCCCACTTAAAAAAAAACTTTTTAATGTGGCTACTAAAAAATTTTTAATTAAATATGTGGCTCACATTATATTTCTATGGAACAGTATCGGCTAGAGTAAATCTCTGCAATCCCTCAAAATACTGATCTTACTACATATTTAGTCACTGCAGGGAAAGTCTCTGAAATCTTGCAACAAAAGTAATTCAAACAATATCTGAAAAAGTAAACAGCTAGTGGGGCTGTGGGCTTCAATGTAAACATACTGTCACGGGCCGCATAATGACCTTTCGGTCAGCAATGGACCACATGTACAATGGTGGACCCATAAGATTAGTACCATATAGCCTAGGTGTATAGTAAGCTATACCATTTGCGTAAGTCTGTCACCAACTGACTGCCCAGGGTAACTCAAAGGAGGTTTTGGAAACACTTAACTGTTTCTCCAAATTGTTTCTTTTAGTTAAGATGTGCAATCCCCAACCGCCACGAACCAGTCCAAACCCCGTCACAAAAGTGACACCTGCACAGATGGGCCAAGAAGTGCCCAAGATATTACCTTTGCTTCATTTTAATGTTAAAATCTCCTCCCCAGGAGGAGCTTAGGCCTTATTACCATAACATGTGATGTACGTGGAAGCATATTTTCCAACTGAGCCTGCAAAAGCGAATACCCCCCTCTCCCTTTTGAATATTCATTCCTCTGCTTTCCCTTGCTCGGGGAGCCACAACTTTAGAAAGGATTGCCCGTGGTCGCCTTATTTGCTGCAAATAAACTTTACTTTGTGTGACAACTACTTCTGGTGAAGGCTTTGATTTCAACTCACCAAGAAACAGATCCACTTTGGTTCAGCAATAAGTACACTCTACGATGTTTGCACAATGACAAAATCACATAATGACACATTTTTCAGAATGAATCCCCAATGCATGACTAGAAAGATCAGAATAAATAGCCTGAGGGCTGCACCAAGTGCTCAACATGCTACTAAAACATTGGCAACTCCTTAGCAAGAAGAGCTATGCTTACAAAACTAGCCTTTCTTGTTGAGTTTGCTAGACAATCTTCAGTTTCCTTGGCTATAAAAATAGAAAGTAACACCTACTTCCGCCAGATACTGTGAGGCACTTTATAAATAAGTCTCACAGAAATGTGATATTAATGAAGTATCAAATATTAACTTTGGCAAGTTGGTTCTTAAAAACTACTACAGTAGCAAAGTTTGGAGTTCAGGAACTTAAAATATGAAAGGCAATGTTAATGGTACCAAAGTCAGAAAATCCAAGGAAGTCTTTCTAAAATATTGACTTTTTTTTTTTTTTTTTGTG